CTACGGCAACGACGACGACGACGTCGAGGCCGCCTCGCCGTACACGACGCCGCCGTCCAAGGGCGCGTTCCAGGTGCTGCGCAACTTCCGCGGCAGCGGCGGCTCCGGAAAGCTCCACGGCCGCGCCTTCCCCGGTGCCGCCAAGGCCGAGGGTGCCGCGCTGCCCGACGCCTTCATCAGCTCCCTCGCCGACGACGACAGTCCGCATGTCTTCTCCAAGCGCGAGGCGGTGCACGAGATGCGCAACGTGGGCCGCACCGACCTCCTCACCGTCCCCGCCGCAGCCGCGACGGGCGCGGGGCTGTACGCGCTGCACCAGCGCAACGCGTCGACCGACTCGCTCGGATCCTCGTTTGGCGCCGCCTCGCACTTTTCCTACCCCTTCCTCTCGGCCATGCACCGCCCCAGCCTGGCAGACATGTCCAATGCCGCCACCTCGGACGCCGACGCCGCGCCGCGCGGCGTGGTCGGCGGGATCCCGGCGTCGGCCGGCTCGGCGGCGGACACGACGACGCCGCTGTCGGTCCACTCGACGATGCTGCCCTATCCGGCCGCCAACCTGACGTCGCCGGCATCGGTGGCCGCCACCATCGCCGCGCTCAACCTCTCGCCGCGCGACGTGGCCGCGCTGGCGAGCATGGCCAACCCGCACCTCACGCCGCCAGGCGCGCTGAGCCCGTACCACGAGGCGATCCTGATGCAGGAGGGCGCCATCGTCGAGCTCAGCCGACACGTCTCGATGCTGGCTCTCAATGATGACCTCGACTCGACCGTGTCGGTCGACGGTGTCTCGAGCTTCGACGTCAAGGCCAAGCCCGCCGGCCCTCGATTCATCGGTGCCGCCGCCGCCGCAGAGCAGCAGCAGCAGCAGCAGCAGGGTGGAGGAGGCTGTGCGTCGCCTCTGTTTCCCTGGCAGTCGGTCGACGAGGCCCGCGCATCGCCCATGCTCGTCAGGCCGCCTCCGCGTGCCAGGCTCACCGAGACGTCCGCCTGGAACCTGACGCGACGCCAGAGCACTGCCATGCGCGCCGCGCCCGTCGAGGCTGCTGGCGCTGCGCTGCCCTACGTCTCGATCGACATGGCAGAGGCCAGACACAAGGCCGAGGCGGCGCTGGACAACCGAGTCACCGTCGACCCGTTCGAGGACGGAGACGAGGAGGCCGTCGTCATGTCGGCCATCAAGGGCCACCCGATCGCCGCAGCGTCGCCCCGGGCCAGGCTCGTCTCGACCGAAGAGGCCATTGCATCGGCGCGCGTGCGCAGCTCGATGCGCGCAAAGAGGCAGGCATCCTTCAGGATCACAAACGAGGCCTGACCGGTCGATAGTTGAGCTGCCGTAGCGCGCTCACCGTCCAACGCCAAGCATAAGGCGTCGGTTTCTTGACTCCAGGCTCGTCTCGTATCACTGTCACTACCGTCAATAGGGTCTTCTGTGTCGATTTGCGATCGCAACCGAGTTGCTGCATCCTCCTCATACGTGCGTAGAATGGAATGGCTGTGATCGTCTGTTCCCGCATCGATGCAGGCGACTTGTCGGGTCGAGGGGAGACTCGCGCGACCTTGAGATACTTCGGATCTTCGTCTCATTACGCTCATCTACGCCGGCGCAACGAGGACAAGCCGCCAGCCAGCGCTCTCCGCTCGAAAATGACACTGTCGACGAGAACAAAGACAGAGAGAGGCGCAGGAGTGCAATGTCAGCAGACGATCCGGAGGAGCCTTGTCGAGCGAAAGAATGGACAGACTCACCAGACCCCGAGCAGGAACACCAAACACGCGACTCCGAACGCCAAGGTGGGCACGAGCAGCCGCATTGCCTGCAGCCGTCCGCCCGTGGCTGACAGGAGCGTCTCGCGACCAGGCATCAGCCGCTGCGTCGTCTGTCTGAGCAGGACAAAAACGGCACCGAACGACAGGAGCACCGGCGCGCTGGGGAGCGTCGAGCTCGGGCGGAGCCTCTCGGTGATCGCGCAGCGGTCATCCCGCTTCGCGCCCTTGGCGTCGACGCCGGCGCCATCGACGTCGCGACTGACGAGCTTCGTGGCGGCGCCGAAATATCTGACGAGGAACGACCAGCAGTAGAGTGCACGGATGCCCAGCCCGAAGGCGTTGGCCCAGACCAGCAGCGTCTCGGTGCCGCCCGTGGCTCCGGCGAGCGAGGGCGGTATCGCCTGGGAAAGCCAAAGCGACGCGGCGAACGAGACGCTCGCGGCGATCAGCACCTTGCTGTAGCGCTCGACCTGCGCCTTGGACGCCGTCGACTGCAGGAAGCCCTCGGTGATGCCGTTGATGGCCATGACGGGAATGTACCAGGTGTAAGCGCCGAGGATGGCCGAAGCCGAGGTGCCAAGCGCCCAGCGGGGGCCGGCCATGATGTAAAGAAAGGCAGTCGCCAGCGGGGCGCCAAAGCAGATGAAGAGCATGCCCAGTATCAGGTGGACGCGAAGGAGGGTAGACACCAGCCGAGAGATCTCGTCGAGTGACGACAGCGACATGGACGTCCGAGCCTGGTGGACGCCCTTGCTTTCCGTTTCCTCGGCGGCCGGCTCGATGCTGTGCAGCGACTGGGCGAACAGCAGACGAGTCGTGTCTTCGATGGGCGAGAAGAGAAGTCGCGCGACGAGCGATCCGTAGTTGCTGGCCAAGGCGTAGCCACCCTGATCTTCGAGCGAGGCGAACTTGGCTACGGCTAGCTTGTCGCCCTCGGTCAGGACGTGCTTGAGCAGGCCCTGTTTGGTCATTGACCAGCAGAGTGCCAAAGTCGCCGGGTCAAAGTAGTCGCTGGGCCGTGCCGCGGCGAGTTTTGTGGTGTCCTGTGTAGCAGCGTCTGAAGCTGCGGCCTGTGAGCCTCGGTCGCCGCGAACGGCGTAGATGCCAAACGTTGCCCGATGTCCAAATCGGCGAAGGAACCACTGCGTGTAGACAAGCAGGATGGCGAGTCCGTAGCACACCTGGCCGATGCCAAATGCGAGCAGGCCCATGGACTTTTCCGCATCGCCGTAGCCCGAGATCAAGCCACGTTCCATCAGCGCAGGGAGAGCGACGACGGCGCCGATGCTGGTGACGCATTTGACGAAGATGGCGACGCCCTCTGCCTGGACGCGCAGGGCCGGGTTGCCGAGGGCCAGGGACCGAATGTGCAGGGGCTCAGAGACGAGCTCTGCCAGCGCTCCTAGGACGTAGAGGGATACGGAGAGCTTGAAGGTGGCGGCTTCTCTGAGCGATGCCGGCGAGAGGTGGTGGACATAGACGTAGCCCACGACCAGGGAGAGGAGAAGGCCAAATGGGATGGGTAGGAGCGAGACGTTGTGGACGCTGTCGCGAGAGGCACGAGCACGGCGAGATGAGCCATCCTTCGGCCCGCTCTTTTCTTGAGGCCCATCTTTGACGCTGTCCGACTGTTCGGCGAAGGGCTGCTGCTGCTGCTGCTGTGGGCGGATGAGGACGTTGCGAATGGCCTCGCGGGAGAGAAAGAGGATGGTGGATAGGAGGAGCTCGAGCTGGATGTTTGCTGCGCCAAAGACGTTGGCAGGGACCAGCCGGACGAGGAGCTGGTTGAGGACAAAGGTGAGCAGCCGTGCGCTCATCTGCAGCAGAATCAGCGAGCTGGCCGACGAGGCGGCATCGGCCCGTCCCGCTCCCGACGGGACCATTTCGGGCAAGCCGGATGTCGAGCTCCGAGACTCGTCTGGCGGCGCCGTCGTTGTGGCTGTATGTGTACAGCGGATGTCGGCTCGGTCCGAAGCCGCTGGGAGAGCGACAAAAGAAAAACCCTCGTTCGGCTGAGCCGTCTGTCAGGGTGGCTAGAGCAGGGAGGGTGTGGTGAGGATGCAGATGGTGGAGAGAGGTGGGCAGAGGCTGGCTAGGGTGGTCCGTATGGCCAAGAAGACCTCGGGTTCGGACGGACCCTGGCCGCAGAAACTCGGATCTCGGGCTGAAAGGACAGCGTCCGGATGTGGAGCATTCTTGAAGGCAGGCCAACCCTCTCCTTCCTGGCTGACCAACCTTCGCCCGCCTCCCCTCGCTGGACTCTTTTTATGCCTTTGAGCACCACCACCATCGTCTTTCAGCTCCATCTTACTCGCTATACCCTTAGACGGCCCTCGATCTTCTTTTCAATGTCGGGACTCGCTCCGGCTTGCGCTTCTGGCCGCACGATGCGGTGCGCGGTCCGGCTCTGCCGAGGTACGGCGGCTTCGGCCGGCCCGTCGCGCAGCTTGTCGTCTTCGGCCAGCAGCCGCTCCGAGACGACGGCGACGACGACGACGCCTCAGGCTCGACTGCGCTTCGCCCCTTCGCCGACGGGCTACCTGCACCTCGGCGGTCTCCGTACTGCCCTCTTCAACCATCTGTACGCGCGCAAGCTCAAGGGCAAGTGGATCCTCCGCATCGAGGACACGGACCAGAACCGATACGTGCCCGGCGCGGTCGAGGCGCTGCAGCGGACGCTCGAATGGGCAAAGCTAGACTACGACGAGGGACCCGGAAGGCAGGGTGCCGCTCACGGGCCCTACGTCCAGTCAGAGAGGCTCGACATCTACCAGCGCTACGCTGACAGGCTGCTCCAGGTGTGTGCCAGCCCTGACCCTGCTGCTCACCCTATGAAATGAGATGCTGAGCGCGACTGTATTTCCTCCTCCTCGCACCAGTCTGGGAAAGCCTACCGCGACTTTAGGGCCGAGGTGGCGCAAGATGTCCACGCGCCCAAGTCCAAGGGCATTCCGCTGCGAGAGCACTACCTTCCACCAGACGAGGATGAGGCACGCAGGCTCATCCGCGAGGGCAAGCCTTTCGTCGTCAGGCTAAAGGTACGCCGCGCGGTAGGAACTGGTCAGGCGCGCTCCTGCATCCCATCTCACCTTTGGTCTCACCTCTGCCCACGCTCGACCCCCTCTGGTACCTTGACCAGGCCGAGACGGACGCCATCAGCCACCAGGACCTCGTCTATGGCGACATTCACTTCCCCGCCGACCCGAATCGCGCAGGCACCGAAGATCCGATCCTAATGAAGAGCTCCGGCTGGCCCACATACCACCTCGCCAACGTCATCGACGACCACGAGATGGGCATCACCCACGTCCTCAGAGGAGAGGTGAGTGGCACATGCCGAGCTCACAAGCTACATCGCGACAACGTCTCCGCCTGCGCTGATCACACCACGAACGCTCTCACCGATCCGTCCCGCCCGTCTTCCCTCCGCCCGCGCAGGAGTGGCTCCCGTCGCTGCCGAAACACCTCTGGCTCTACCGCGCCCTGGGACTGGAACCGCCCAAGTTTGCGCACCTGCCGCTCCTGGTCAACCCGGACGGGAGCAAGCTGTCGAAGCGCATGGGCGACGTGCGCGTCGAGGACTACATGGCCAAAGGGCTCGAGCCCGAGGCGCTCAACAACTTTGTCGCGCTCATGGGCTACAACCACATTGCGGCGCGCAGCGACGCAAAGGAGGAGGGCTCGCACAGCAACTTTGAGGTCATGTCGATGCACGAGATGATCGAGGGCGTGAGTTACCGAACGGCTCGGAAGGCACCACGAGCGTTGGGAGGGACCGCTGACATGCTCCAGACGCGGCGCGGGCCCATTTCGACGCGGAGGCAGTTTGACATCGCCAACGTGTCGCACTCGCGGGCGGCCGTGGATCTGTCGAAGCTCTACTTCCTCAACGGCAGGCACATGGCGCTCAAGCTCGACGATGGCGAGGGCGGCGGACAGCGGGAGCTCGTCGACAAGGTCAAGCCGCTGCTCGCGGCAGAGTTCCCCGAGGTGTGAGTGTGCCGAGCCCCGCGTTCCGAGCTGCTGCGCGTGGCACGATGATGCTCAACGATGGTGATGTGGTCTTTGCCTTGCTGTTCTTCACGACGACAGGCAAGAGATGGCGGACGAGAGGCTGGTGGAGCTGCTGCAGATCACAAAGGTGCGTTTCCGCCGGTGTGCGACGGGTAGACGGACCTTGCCCTTCGGGCGCCTGACAACCCTCTCTGCCATCCTCTGCCGTCCCTCTTCTGCTGACACCTGTCCACTGGGACCTGCATGCAACAGGGAACATCACCGACCTACCTCGACTTTACGCACTCGGTGCAGCCGCTACTGCGCGTACCGACATGGACGTCGAGCTCCTCTCTATCCCTCTTCCGCTCCACTTCCGCCATCTCGATGCACTACGCCGTATGCATCGAGCAGCTTCTCTCGCTCCTCCGTCACCTTCCCTCCGATGCCGAGTCGGGGCCGATCGCGCAGGAGGACGCGTCAAAGCTGCTCAAGGACCTCGCCAAGTCGGTGGCGGAATCCCTCCATGCCCCCCGCGATGAACGGCAGGAGCTGGTCGAACAGGGCGGCAAGAGGGCGGCGAGAAAGAGGGCAAACGTCATGCTGCCCATTCGCTTTGCACTCACGGCTAGGGACGTGAGTGTGCCACCAGCGCCGAAGCATCCCAACCCCCTCCAGCGCTCCCCGATTCCTGACACCCCTCCTTTCCCTTTCCTCCCTGCAATTTTTTGCAAACCCTTCGTCTGATCCCCCCCCCCCCCCCCCCCCCCCTTCCAACGACCCGCAGAAAGGTCCGACGTTGGCCGAAATCATCTCGTGGCTGGGCAAGCAGGGCTGCATCGATCGGCTAGAGATGGCGCTCAAGGTGTACAACGAAAACGGCCTGGCTTAACCCCGCCTTCTTCGCGAGCGCCCGCTGATCTCGTCTCGACCACGGCGAGGTATCGTCGCGGGGAAGGGCGCCGAAGCGCGCGTCGAACGCTCTTCCTCGGTCCACATCCCGTCGCGCAGAGTGGATCAACCATCTACTCAAAGAGCCCAAGAGAGCGAGCGAATCTGATCGCACCAAGGCGATCTGGTATCTAAATCGGAACGCAGGTATGCATAAACGAGAAAAGAATATGTTGCGGCGCGCCGCAGGGTGGGCAACGGCGGCGGCGCGGCGAGGGGCTGCCTAGGGCCGGCCCAGGAAGTGCTCGAGGCCGTCGTGGCCACCGTCGTGATCGTCGTCGTCGTTGCCGCCGCCGTAGCGCAGGGCATCCTCGCGAAGGTGGAGGTGCACGTCGGCGGGCTTGTACGTCCGCGCCGCGCTCTCGTACGTCGTCGGGCTGGTGCTCGACAGGTCGCTCACGAAAAACGAGGCGCCCGTCGCATGGTCGTAGGACCGGCTGGCTGCGAGGTCAATCGGACCCAGCGAAGGCCACTGCACGCCCGTCTCGCGGCTTGCCGATCGGCTGCTGTAGCCCGGCCGCTGGGCGAAGCCATACGCCGAGGGGGCGTCGGAGGCGAGCTTGATCGGGCCGCGGCCGCTGTCGCTCGTCTGCCGCGCCCTTGATAGGCGGAAGGGGATGCCGCCGCTCGAACCATGCTCTGCGAACGAGCCCGAACGCGAGGGCGGCAAGGGTCGGGGCCCGCTCGGTTTCGGAGAGGTCTGACGCGATGCCGCCTCGTCGCCCTCTGCCGCCGCCGGAGCCTGGCTGCCCGAGGCCGATCGCCGCACCTTTGGCAGCCTGGTCGGGGTCCGATCGACGCTGGCGCGATCCGGCGTCGGCGCCATGGCCGCCGGCGCAGAGGCCCGCGGTGTCCGCGAGGAGGGCGTCTGCGTCTGCGCCTTGTCGGTGGGCCTCTTCCAGGCCGCCTCGATGTACTTTTTCCTCCAAAACGTCTGGCGGTCGCCCTCGGCGGGGAGCAGGCCGGCCGGCTTGCTGTGCTCCCACAGCTCGTTTGCCTTGACGTTGCCCCACTGGCGGGCGGCCTCGACCTGCTCCTCTGTCCAGTCGTCGAGATCGACGCTCTTGACCTTGGAAAGATGGACGCCGAGCGAGCGGTGCACGCCCGAGCACGAGATGCAGATGAAGATGCAGCACGGCTGGTTCCCCAAAGCCCAAGACGCCCAGCGCGGATCTGGGCACGTGGGCGAGAGCCAGCGTTTGGCGAGGCAAGCGAGATGGAACAGGGGAAGGGAGACGGCGTCGGTCAGTGTCGGGCTCGGCACAAAGCCTGATTGCCATCGTGGGTGGTTCGACAACTCACCCGGTGCACGGCAGTCGGCGCAGAGCGAGTTTTCTGGGCGGTGGGATATCTCAATGATCTCGGTGGCGCGGGACATCTTTGTCGAAGTGGTGGAGCCGTGGTCTGGAGCCCGCTGCGCCGCGTCCGGCTGCAGCTTGCCCATCTCGGAGACGGGCGCCGAGGTCGGCGTCTCGCGGGCCGGAGAACCGATCGACGACTTGCCAAAGCTGCTCTGGACAATCTCTTCGATCCGGCGGTCGAACTCCGAGTCGCCTTCGAACGACGAGCTCGACAGACCCTCGCTGATGTTTGTCCCTCGCTGGTGGTTGGCACGTGCATTGTCGGCGTCGCCGCCACTGAGGCCGAGGGCGCTGCCGTTGCTGTCAAGGTAACCGTAGATTGGCGTCTTGTTCGAGATGCCGCGCTCGTGCTTGGAAGCTGAACGCTTCGGCTTGTCCTCCTTGGACCCTTGCTTCCAGACCGAGGTGTTGGCATAGCTCTCGGAAAGAGTCGAGGCGTGCCGGCCACCTCGGCGACCCTCGCGCCGCCTCTCGCTGAAGGCGCTCGGGGCCTCCGCGGCCCTGTGAACATCTCGCGTCTCGCCGGCCAGGTCCGTCATCGACTGGCTGAAGGGCCTCTGTGCCGAATGCTCAAGGTCGCTCCGTCCCGCCACGGCGCCGAAGTCGTCGAACATGCCGTCCTCAGCCACAGCGCCGGACTGCAGCGCCGGATCCATGGTGAAAGGGGTCGCCCGGACCGCCCGGTCCAGTTTGCGGACGCTCGAGGTGCCGTTGAGCAGGCTCTCGATGGCTTTGGCGATGGCCTTCATCCAGTCGCGCATGGTGGCTTCATCGGGCGCCTGGAAAAAGCGTCGGCTGTCGCGGGTGACGACCTCGAAGGCGAAGCGGCGATCGACGCCACGAGCCTCGCGCACAGTGGCGAAGCGGAGGTCGATGAGCGGATTCGACGGCTCCAACACCTTGGCATCCTTCCAGTCCGCGTACTCGCCGATGTGCCCGGATCCTGACAGGACCACCCAACACTCCCTCCAGTGGTTGGAGCGGTTGACGGCGCGAGGGGCGTCGGAGCCAGCTGGCCCCGTCACCGGCTTCGACATAGCCCACAGCACGCCCTCCTTCTTCCTCTCCTGTCCTGGCGCCACCTGTTTCGGTACGCCACGAGACGCTGATGGGCCGGACGATGCTTGCGACGCAGCGGCGCTTGGGGTGTCTACGTTCAGGCCGCCGATGCCAAGGCCAGCTGCCGAGGAGCTCGTCCGGGACACGTCGAGGCTCGCGGGCTGAGATGGTAGTGTCGAAGAAGCCTCGCCAGCCGTTGAGCCGTCCATGGCCTCGTCGACACGCCTCGGTACCGGCTTCTCGCTTGGCCGAACAGCTTCTTTTACGGCCGCGCCGTAGGCCATCAGGTATTCGTTGGCATTCGAAACGTGCTCGAGTAGCGGGCTCTTGGGCAGGTCGACGGCGGCGCGGGAGCTGGCGGCAACATCCATCGCCGTCGGCGCCGGGAGCCTCGGCGACGCGACGCTGTGCAGATCGCGCGGCGGCACGTCCGACAGCCTGTCCATCGGGTTAGGAGATTGCAGGCTTGGCGAAGCAATCGGAGTGCCGGCAGCAGCGGGCCGAGACGAGTGGACCTTGAGGGAGACTTTGCGCCTGATTCCAGAGGTCATACCCTGATCTCCACCCGAGGCCTTGCTCTTGCTCATTGGAGACGCGGTCGGGCCCGTCCCTGCATCTTGCGTTCTGCCAGGCGCCGTCGGCGCCTGCTTGCCCAGGTTGAGACCGCCAAAAAAGTTGCGGATTTTTTGCCCGGCCTGCTTTGCGCCCTTGGCGCTGCCGTAGTCGGGCTCGCTGGCCGCAGGATCGGGATTGGTGGACACGTCCGCACCGCCGAGCTCGACGTCTTCGTAGGCGTACGACGGCCCCGTGTCTGCCTCGCCCGCCCTCTTTAGGCCGAGCTCGACCAGGCGGATCTGTTCGGCGACCTCGTCGCACTTTTGCTTCACCGCGCCAGCGCGTAGGCTGATTGCGCTGCCCGCGGCCTCGACGCCCGAGGTGAGGTCGGCCAGGGTACGAGAAGCCTGAGGTCCAGGCCAGCCTGGTCCCCAGATCGTATGCGGCGCAGATGCCTGCCAGTTCGAGAGCCGAAGCATGCAGCGCGTCAGTTCCAACTCGGCTTGACCGCCATGGAGCCTGCTGAGGATGCGATAGAGGTCGAGACGGGCGTGGTCGAAGCGGAGCTGGCGAAGACGCTGCTTCTCATCCGCCCTCTCCTGCTTGATCGACCTGTCGCCACCGCCGTTGACGTGGCCATTCGAGGACGAGCTAAACGCGCTGTTGCCCGTCTCCGGCACAACGCGGCTCGAGAGCCACTTTTGGGTCTGCGAGTAGTACGCCTTGGACTCGGCCTCGAAGCTCTTGATCTGCTCGATCGCCGTGCGGCACTGGTCCAGCACCTGGGCAAGAGGGCGCTCGATGTTCTGCTCCAGCATGGTCGCCTGCTCCCGCCTGTACCTCGAGGTGCGCTCTCGCGACTCGTCACCGAGGCTTTGTCGCAGCGGCGAGAGGGTGTTGGGCGCAAGCGCGGCGAGATCCCGCATCGCTTCGTCCAGGGCATCCTCGGCCTCCATGGACGCGAGAATCCGCATGCGAGCGTCGTGGGCAGCCTTCAGCGCGGCCTTCGCCACCCTTTTGAGCGCTGCCGACCTGCGATCAAGGTTGGCGATGGCGGCTCTCAAGATGGGCGAATCGCTTTCGAGGTCCGCGAGCGAGATCTCGGTGTGATCGACATGCGGTACCGCTGGCCCGGCCCCTGCGCCGTCATCGGCCACCGACACCCTAGAGACGCCTGCGAGCGCTGCTGCGCCAGGATCGGCATCGAACAGGTCGCTGCGGCTTGGGTCTTGGTTCCAGGCTGCGATCAGCGCGAGAGAGTCGGACGGCATGACACTGCCGCGCTTGGCCTCGGTGCCGACAGGCTTGGGAGCGATCGGGGCAGCTGGGACGTCGACCCAGAAGCTGAAGGCGGCAAGCACCTTGGCCCTCGTCCGGCCCGCATCGACTTCGACGAATGCGCAGCAGCACTTGCCCGTCCCTGGACCTTTGGCCGCGCCCAGGGGGCCAGTCGTCTCCGAGCGCCGCATCGGCTTCCACTTCCACTCGAAGTCGCAGTCCCTGGCCCCGCGGGTCGTCCCGCCAGCCGCGGCGGGAGAGGGATTGACGACTACCCGCGACACGCCCTCCAACGCAGCGGCCTCTGCGGACGTGAGGGCGGAGCTGGCCATGTCGATGGCGTCGACCAGCTTCTGGGACGAGTCGGCGGACACGAAGAGCACCTCCTCGAGGCCTTTCGATGCCGACGACTGCGCAAAGTTGGCGTTGTTCCAGCTGGTCGCGCTGGTGCTCGATTTGGCTGTCAGGGGCGTCGAGGGCGCCTCGGCGCTGGCGCAGAGGCGAAGGCGGAAGCGGAGATCGACCGAGTGCACTTCTTCGCTCGTCGCTGAAGCCCTCGGAAGGCGTCGTGCCCAGACGCGCCGCGCGTGTTCGGCCGGCGGCTCGATCTTGAGCAAGAGTCGGGATGGATCAAAGGGCGTCCGATCCAGGCTTTGGTTGGCACTGTGCGGCGCTCCGTCGTCACCGCTCTCGGACACCGCTGCGGAAAAGGCGCCGGGCTGTGCACCACCGCGCGCGCTGGGATCCGCAACAAACGCGATCGCTTCGTGAGTGTGGGCGATTGGCCCCCGCTGCAGAGAGCCGGCGTCCTTGGCGCCGTGGAACGCATCATCGTTCTCGCAACTTCCCAGAAGCTGGCAGTCGGTCTCGAGGTCGAGCGGTACGACCGAGGTGGTGAGCCTGCTGTCCCTGCCAAAGGTGAGGCTTTGCAGCTTGGCCGTGGTTCGACGCCGGACCTGGACGCTGCTACCCTCACCATGGCTCTCCGATGTGGTCGGACGGCTGCGGAGGCTCTTGGCGTCGGCAAGTGGCCCAGTCCCGCCGACTCTTGCAGTGTCTGGATTGAGGTGCTGTGTTACGTGGCTCAGAGCATCAACGTTTGGGCTCCTATCGAGATTGCCTGCCGCTTCGCGCGCCCTGCGTCCGAGCTCGGTGAACGCCTCTCGGGCCCGCAGGCCGATTTCGACGCTCTTTGGGCGGAAAGCGCCGTGGCGAGGTCCGGTTTCGGGAGCGGCGAGAGAGCTGCGCTTGTTGGTCGGATGCTGGTAGGCAGCGTGCGAGGCGCTGGGGGGTGCAGCTCTGCGTGGCGAGTCGATGGGGCCAGGATGAGCGTGATCGATAGACAGGTCTCGGGTGAAGCTGGAGGCGGGTGACGCGGCCTGCGAGATGGCCGTGGTGGCATCGATGGTGAGCGAGAGGACAGAGAGGCGGTGCGGGTCGCTGAGGAAGAGCGAGTGGCCCGGCAGGTCAAAGGCGCTGGCCGACGAGCTGCCAGCATGCGAAGGGGCGTAGCCGGGAGACGGCGGAGCATGCCGAGAAGCGTTGGCGGCCGACCAGCCGACGTTGCTGTGGCCGTGGTCCCTGTCTCGCTCGCTCACCCGCAGGTTGCCGTCGGACGCCTGCCGGCTGGGCGTAGGCATACCGTCCAGGCCCCGGAGCGGCCCGCGCTGTACAGCTCGAGGCTACAGCCGGTCTTGTGAGCTGGATGGGGACCTTCCGATTCACTGTCCAGGCCACCGGCTCCTGAAGCGGCGTACAGCAGCTGGTCTGGGTCCTGGCCGGCCAAGCTGCGCAGTAGCTCGACCTTTGGCGGTGCGTCGTGCTGTGTCACGCCCGCAGAGCTGCCCCAGTCGGGATCGTCTGGCCCGGCACGGTCACGGCCAGGTATTTTGGCGTCGGCTTCGCAAGGGCCGGATAGGGTCGGATGCACCGTCGCAAGGCTACCGCCGCTTGGTCTGCCCAGCAGAGGAACACCCCGGAGTTGGCGCTCGGGATCTCCGTCGTGGAAGAGGTGCTGAAGGCGAGTCGTAGGGGTGCGGTGGCGGAGCTGAGCGTCGGTCGCGAGGTGAAAGAAGCGAGCAGCCAATCCTGACAACGAAGTACGTGGATCAAAATGAGAGGTGGGTGCGGGTGTCAAGGTGTGAGGCTAGGTTGGGACAGAGGATGGAGAGCAGCAACCAGGCAGGTAGGGTGAGCACGTCTCGACGAGGCCCCGGGCTGCGGTGGACCTCTCTGTTGCTGCCCATCTCGAAATTGCATGGCGCAGGCGGGCGGGCGGGCCTGCCTCTCTGGGCGGAGAGGTGGGGCTGCCGGCGCTCGCTCGCCCTGGGCGCGCAGGTGGCCCTCGCGTGCACAAGTCAGAGACACACATGTGTTGCTCTCGACCCTGCCTGGCTGGAGCCTAGCCTGGCAGGGCGTTCGGATGCAGCCGACCGACGCCGCTCGCAAAAAAAGACGGCGACCCTCGCCCATCCTCGGCGGGCCGTTGGGAAGGCAGCGGGGCCTTGGCTGGCCTGGCTGGGAAGGAGAGGCTGGTAGGGGTGGCGACGACGATCAGACCCTTGCTTGCTTCGTCTCCTTCGCCTCGGCAGGCCGGAAAGCAAGGCAAGCAAGGAACCGAAGGAGGACAGAGAGAGAGGGACAGGGACGGAGGGCAAGGAGGCCTACTCCTTGCTCCCTGTCTGCTTCGGACGATCTCTCTCCCTCTCCCTGGACCGTCATCGTCCTGCTACGGCAGCATCGTCTCGACCGATACTCTCCTAAGTCGTCTCAGGCTCGCATCGGCGGCGGAACGAGGCTCCTCGGAGGAGCAAAAGCCTCGAGACCAAACAGCTCAAGAATCTCAGTCGACGCCCTGCGTTGTGTCGAGCTCACGGTGATCCTCCCTACGACGCCTTGGAGTAGCGCGCCCTGGCAAGGGCCAGATGTTGTTGGCTGCGCGGTATGCGCAACGTTGAAGGAGGCCGACAGCGGAGCCTCAGGTACAATACCCGCGATCTTGCCCTCAGCGACGCAGAAGCTGCAGCTCCGCTCTTGACCGCCATCGCTGTCTTGCGCCCCTCTCTGGGGCACGGGAAGCTCCATTTCGCGGTGCTTAGCAAGCAAGCAAGCATGGACGGCAGAGGGGCAAAGGAAGCGGGGACGAGGCCCCAAGGGCCGCTCAGTCAAGGTCCTGGTGCTCCGACCCTCCTGGCCGTCACGGGAGCGCAAAGCCAGCGCGGTCGAAGGGCCCGAGGCCGAGCGCGCCCCCGGCCGAGGGCTCGATTTCCGACGAAGTCGGCCATCCTACGGGGCCGACGGCAAGCAAGCAAGCACTGCAACATCTTCTCTCAGCGCCTCTGTCGACTATCCGGCCCTCTCTCGATGTGTCGCGATACGTACAGCACACCTGGCGCCTGTGCAGGGCGCTGCACGCGGTACCGTGGATTGCCAAGGCGTTCGGGTACGGAAGGTGCGCCGACGAGACGGGGAACCAGGCGTTGAGCCGCGCCGAACAGAACACACAAATGGTCGGGCGCCCGTTGGGGCCCCAAGAGCGAACGAGCAGCCAAGCCGGTCGGCCTCCGGTCGGCCTGCCAAGCGAGCGAAGGGCTGGTGAGCACGCCCGCGTCGGAAGGTCGACCTCCTCACCCCCCGTCCCTTGTCCCTCGTTCCTCGTATCGTCGCTGAGGCTGGACCTTTCGTTTGAGCCTGGCCGGTCGGTTGGTTGGCTGGCTGAGCTGCTCGTTCTTTTCCGACTGTCCGTCCGACGAGCGGAGGGGGCGAGAGGGCACGGTTCCTGCGTTGATGCACGGCAGTCTCGTGTCAGGAACGACAAAGAATGGCCCAGCGAGGAGCATCGATCTCGCCACCTGACGTTCCCGTGCCCTTTGTCGGTGTCTCGAGCAGCGATTCGCCGCTTGCCGCCTGTTGCCGCCACCACACGCTGAGGGGGACCTTTGCTTTGCCTTCCGGCACGCTGCCTGGCCTGGCCTGACCTTGCTTGGCCTTTTGCCACTCCGCCCAACGAGAAGCAGAGGTCGTGCATGGACCTGCCGGCCAGCCTGCCCGCCTGTCCGCCTGTCCGCCCGCCCACCTATGAAGGTGCGGCGGCGAATGGGGCTGAAAGTCGTTGTCCCGCCGCGCGCGCGCAGGTGCAGAAGGGACGACGAGCAGGTATGTACATACTGTAGGTGTCGTATGTGGGTATATCCGCCACCGCCTAAGCTCGCTCTGTGCCCGTGCGACGCTGCGGGTACGGAAGCCAAGTGTCCGAATCCAGAGGGTCGGGCAAGCATGAAGTAGTGTAGGAGGCAAGCTGGGAGCGCAACGACGAGGCGTGAGACGCAGCGCAGCCGCGCAGGATCCCGTACGTTCTGTCGGTAGGCTCTACCTACCTACGTACAAGGACCGGTCCCCTGTCTTGGTCGGGGGGTTGTCTGGTTGGCTGCATTTGCATGCTGCCGTCGCCTGCTTTTCGCAGAAGAAGTTGGTCTGGTTCCCAGGCAACGGCATACAAAGGGCAAGGCTGAATTCCAAGGGCGTCCTCTTCTACGGCAGCAGCAGCAGCAGCAGCAGCAGCGGCAGAGTCTTCTGCTTCTTTCGTTGCCGTACGTCTGTCCAATGGGGCGGATCCTCGTCGAAAGAAGGCTACTTACTAGTAGAATCGAGGCCGACATGATATGGCACTCGGAGGCGCGCCACCGCCTCGCACCAGGCACGCTACGCCGGCGCCAGCGGTCATGCTGGCGGCCATCTGGCGCCCTAGCTGGCGGTCTAGGTAGGTGGACTGCTGGCTGTTTGATGGCCAATCTGGCTGTGACCCACCGGCACGGCAGCAAAGAGAAGCCAAAGTAACGAGGTGGGGCGTGCCGGCAACGGGGCCAAGGCGGCGGAGGGTTGCTGAGGCTGCCAGATGCGGCCCAGTGTCCAGAGAGGCTCTCTGTCTGTCTGGATGGCGCTGCCTGCGGTGCGCTTGCCTTTGCAGGCGTGGCCTGCTTGCCTCTTCTCTCCCTCTCCCTCTCTCTCCCTCTCTCTCCCTCTCTGCCTCTCTCCTCCGCTCTGTGTGGTGTTGGTTGAGTTGGCCTCACCCCCACTTGCCGACGCGCTCGAGCCATAAGAACCCCCCTCGTCGTCCTCCCCCTTTCCCCTCCCTTTCGCCCTCTTCCACCTCTCTCCTCTCTCCCAACCTCTGCCTCCTCCTCCTCTCCGTCCCCGCCACATCGCTCTTCCCCAGACATCGCCCTTCGCCGCCCCGCAACCATGCGTCCCTTCACCGCCTCCAAGTACGCCGCCGCCGTCGCCGTCGCCACGCTGGCTTCGGGCGCCCACGCCCAGCTCGACACGTCGCTCATCACCGGCCTCGCCCCCGCCTGCGGCCAGGCGCTCCTCGGCCTCATCAGCAACCAGGACCTCTCCAACTGCCTCGCCCTCACCGACGCCGTCGGCGTCCTCGGCGCCGCGGGCCAGAACTCAATCGTCCCCGGCCTCAACGGCTACTTTGCCGGCGACATCTGCCCCAAGGCCCCCTGCCCCAGCGCCGCCCTCACCTCGGCCCAGCAGAGCATCTCGCAGGCCTGCCAGAGCGACCTCCCCAAGGGCGGCATCCCCGCCCTCATCCTCTTCCTCCTCAGCAACTACGACACCGTCAGGAGCCTCGGGTGCCTCAAGAACGACCAGAACAACCAGCTCTGCCTCGTCGACACCATGTAGTGAGTCTCTCCCGTGCCGCGCCGCACGCACCTCGCTCACGGCCAGGGTCACGCGCACCGAGCGACCGGCACGCTGACATCTCACCCACCTCGCTCTTCGCGGCTTTGTCTTTCCCCCCCTCACGCAGCGCGGTCCAGAACGCCACGGGCAAGCCGCTGACGTTCCAGTCGCTCTCGGGCCTGCTGAGCAACGACCAGGCCACGACGCAGTCGCTGATGCAGGTGGCGCAGAACAAGACGCTCCTCTGCAGCGCGTGCAACGACGCCCTCTTCACCGTCGCCTCGCAGTCGCCCGCCGCCGCAAAGGCCCAGCAGGGCTCGTCCGACTCGGCCCTCACAAAGGTTGCCCAGGGCGCCGCCCAGACCTGCGGCGCCGCCTTCACCGACAACAAGGTGCCCGACAACGTCAAGCAGACCGCCACGGGCAACTCGACCAACCCCGGCACCTCGTCCGGCTCGGGCTCCGGTAGCGCAAGCACCGGCAGCAGCGGCAGCAACGCTGGAAAGAGCAACGCCGCCGCCGCCGGTTTCCAGGTCAGCGGTACCGCCGTCACCCTCGCCGTCGGCCTGTTTGCTTCCGGCCTTGCCGTCCTCTTCTAGAAGGAGCATCAGCAGAGGCCCGGCCCCTCGTCGCCGTCCCATCACGCGGCGTCAGGGACTGTAGATGTGCCCGTCCCTCCGCCCTCCCATTTTCCCTCTTCCGATCCTTGTCACGATAGGCCCTATACCTCTCTATGCAGCCTCCCTCGTCTTGACCATCCTGTCCCACTCGACCCTTTCCATCATGTCACGGCCGCCTCGGTTCAAATAAGAAGCAAATGTCATGGCCCTTCTCCTCCTCCTCGTCCAGGACAGTGCGATGACGACGACGGCACATCGTCTGAGCCACGTTTCGTCCGCCTCTACCCTGGTCCATTTCGACTCTCGGTCGGCGTGACAAGATGAGCCAACGGAAATCTATCCTTCAATCTGCAGCGACTAACTAGGTGGGTAGTAGGACAATGGCCAGCAGGCAGGGGAGGGCAACGGATCGATCGAATGGGACCGAAAGAAAACCAGGGGCGGTGGGGTGAAGATCGACAAGGTGCGGGTGGGGCGCCCGACAAGGTGGGGCAAAGAAGGAGGGGAGGGAGGTACGTGCTTCTACGAAGGTCACGTCGTCTCTTCTCGGGTGCTCGTAAGCGCAGCTAGGCCGCCCCTGCCCAGTCCGCCGCTCCAGACCCGCTTGAGGCTGCGAACGGGGTGCTCGGCCGCATCGACGAGGTGCGCCAGCTGCCCGGCCAGGTGGTTGTGCAGCTGCCCCGCATTCGCCCCACCTTGGCCGTGCCTCTGCAGCTGCTGCTGCTGCTGCTGCTGATGCTGATGGGAAGACGTAGACGCGTCTGACGTCTGCCTCCTCGCGAAGCCCGGTCGCTCCAGCACCCCACCACCGCTGGCACCGCCGGCTGTTCCTGCACGCAGGCCAGGGCTGTTGGGCGCCGTCTTGCGGCCGCCCCACCGACCTCCAGACAGGCTGAGCGCCGGCGACGAAGGCGTGTTGACCGGCGCCTGCGGCACCAGGCCCCACTTGCCCGACGACCGCGCCATCCGCTCGAGCGACTCGCGCATCGGATCCGCGTACCGGCGCGTCACGACGTGCGCCCGGTGTGTCGAGATGGCCTGGCTCGTCATGGCAATGGCGCGGATCAGGGCCGGATCGACGAATTTGATGGCGCCGTGCGGCGCCGTGGCCGTCGTCGGGTCAAAGAGGTCGCCACCCTCCTGCAGCGCCGGCACGTCGGTCGGATCGAGGGGGAAGGCGTCCGGCGACGTCGTCGTGAGGCCGTGAATCAGGTGGAGCGGCGTCGAGTTGGGCCCATTGACCGAGGCACCGGTGTCGTGCGGGCCGATGCCAAACTCGGGCTCCACGTTGCGCGACGGATGCCGCATCGAGCGCGAGCCCAAACCGGCGGCGTTGGCCAGCGCGGGCGCCCAGCTCGACTCAAAGTCGTCCATGTCCAGGCTCGGGCCCAGCAGCGCATCCGACAGCTCGCTCTTCTCGATCGGAGGACCGCCGAGGCCGCTGGGCATCACGTAGCGGTACATTCGCCGCTGAGGACCGCCGACCTCGTCTTGGCTCTCGTGCGGCCGAGAAAACTGCCGCGAAAACACCGACTCGTGCGTCACCGGCAGGCCCCGCGGCGCTTCGCCGGCGGCCTGGTCCTTGGCAAAGTTGGAGATGACGGGCTTGTTGTACTTCTCCAGCCGCGGATTGGAGCCCTGGCGCTGGCCGCCGCTCAGGAAGCCGCTGGCGCTGGCGCCCCTGAGCGCGCTGGTGGCCGAATGCTCGTCGATCGAGTCGCGCGCCAGGCGTAGCTTGGCCGCCAGCCGCGCCGCGTCTGCCGCCGTCAGGCTCTGCGTGCTCGTGGTCCGGCGTCGGTCGGGTGAAAGGATGCCCGACGACTCGATGCTGTTGGGATCGGTGGCGAGGCTGGAGACGGACCCCTGCGGACCTCGACGGACCGAGTTGAAGTCATTGGCGCCGCGGCTCGCCGTGGTGGGCGCAATGTTGCCGACGGAAGGCGACGGCGACGGCAATGTGATGCCGGATCCACTCATCGAACTCATGCTGCCCTTCCTCCTGGCCTGGCCCCTGGACGACATCGAGCCGTTCATCTGCGCCAGACCATCCGGGAACATCTCGTCCAGCCCCACGGGCTCGCTCGCGCTCGCAGGCAGGCCGCTCCGGCCCCTGCCACTCCCCTTGGCAGAGCCTCGCGATGGCCCGACAGAGTCGCCGCGGTCCTCGTGCCGAGCGCCCAATGCACCGGCCAGAGCGTTGTGGGTGTCGAGCTTCGGAGGCACGATCCCGTGGTTCTCGCGCGGGAACAGCATGTTCATGTTGGAGAGGACCGAGGTGCGAGACCGGAGCGAGCCCGGCGAGGACGTCATCGGCACCGAGCTTCTAAGAGTGCGATTGGATGCAGACGAGGGTGCGCGGTGGTGCGACGAACGAGCCTGCCTGTCGGCCGCCGCGCTCGGGCTCGGGGCGTCAGCCTCAAGATTTGCCGGGCTCTCTGACCGGATGCGTCGGGAGCGCAGTCCATCTGCAGGCAGCGCAGATCCGTCTTGGTCCGCTGATCCGCCGCTTGACTGGGCGCTGTCGATATCGAGTCGCAGATCGGCCACCCTCTTGACGGCCGCCGACGGCGACTCCTGCAGCTGCGCGGCTTCAGTTGCCCGCCGCGGATCCGTTGACCTGCTGTTGAGTTCCTGCTGGCCATCAGCGTCGTCGCCCTCGTCGCGAAGCGTGCGCGCAGTGTCCTCTCGCTCGAGTGGTGGCGGTCTGGGCTGTCCGCGCTCGAGCCCGGCGCCGTTGTACACCGAAGACTCGGTGCGATTTCCAGCTGCTGGCTGGGCGTGCGTGGGTCTTTGTCCCGGCTCCTGCGATCTGTGTGCACTGGCACCGACAGACTCCTGACCCTGCACAGCGGTCTGGCTCAAGGTGTTCTGCTGCAGCGGCTCGAAGTCGTCATTCATCCTCGTAGCGCTGACCCTCGGCGTTGCCGAGCTCTGTGCGGATGTCGTCCGGGCCATGTCGGTCCGCGGCGGCTGATTGCTTGCGAGCCGGTCGTTGCCAGGCTCCTTGCGACTGTGAGAGTCGGACTGCTGGGCCACCGGACGCTTCTTGAAGCCGAGAACCAGCCCTTCGTCCATCGGGCTGGTCGAGGGGCTGGCCTCGAGGCTGACGATGGGGGTGCCGGTGGCGCTCGCGCTGGTCCAGCCGTCCTCTGTCTCCTGCTCCTCAGTCTTCTGCTTTGCGTGCTCCTTGCGCCTCGAGGGACGCTCGTCTCGAGCCATGGCAAGCTGCGTGCTCGATTTGGACCTCTTAGCGCTCGAGAGGTTGGTGCTGCTCTCGCCGCGGTGGAGCCGGTCGCTGGACTTATTGCGCCTCGCGGCCTTTTCCAGCGCCTTGAGGCCGTCTACGCTCTTCCTCCTGGATCCCATCTCCGAAGCCCTGTCGCGCGCCCCATCCGAGTCGCCCGCGTTGGTGGACATCATGAGGTTGGGATCGAACCTGGAGAGACGGATCAAGAGCACAGGAAGAAAGCGCATCGCAGCGATGGACAGCGGTGAGCTTCGGCGGGGGTGGGCGCAAGCGCGCTGAGGGGCAGGGCTGGACGGAGTGGTGCTTACCTGCCGCGACCGCCGGCCTGCTTGCCGACAGAAGGTCTCCGGCCGCCATGCTGGGAGCCGGTGGAGCTGCCTGTGCGGTGTAAGCTGCGCGATCTCGAGGTGGTCGTCATGGTGCGAGCAGGTGTGTGGGTTGAGTCTGGTGGCCGTTGGGAGTGCTGGGAGGGTGTATGCCAAGCGCTCGGATTGCGAAGAGAAAGATGGGACTCGTTGCTTGGCCGACTTGGTGCTGGATCAGTCGGACTGGCCCCTGGGATGCGAAAATGAGAAAGGGGGTTGGCTGCGAGGGACGTGCGGGGCCAGACGACTTCGGGTCGATATGAGCGCCGGTACCTGCGCCTAGCTAGACTGCATTGTCCTCTGGCTGTCGTGGACTGAGTTGCGGCCGGTGCGGGGGCCAGGCAGGTCGATGTTGCGTTGCGCAGACGAGAGCGGCGTCGAGATGGAGAGGGGCCGGTCTTGTTGGCGGTGGCGGCGATAGCGGCGGTGGTGGCGACCAGGAGCGAGCGCGACGACGGCGGCAGAAGCGTGATAAGCCTGCTTGACACGAGGGCGAGGGAGATGCAATGATGCTTGGCGGGCGGGGGGTATAGCGTGGTGGAGTGGAGGGAGGGAGGCTAGGATGAGGAGGTGGATGATGAGGAGCGGGTCCCGCAATCGAAGAAACCAATCTCGACCCTTGGGGTTGATGGCAGCTGGCCCGCCGCCCTCTGAATCGTCACCAGCCTGCCAAATGGGGCCAGGCCAGGCCAGCCCAGGCCATCACGGTTCAAGCCAGCCAGCCAGAAATTCAGCCGAACCGAAAGCGAGCCCAACGCGGGTGGGCGCCCCGCGGCCCCGCCCGCCCCTGCCTATGCAACCGCTGCTGCTAGCTTCCTAGACCGCCATCGCAAGCAAGCAAGCAAGCAAGCTGAGCGACGGCGCATTGGTCATTGCCATCCACCGCTCCTCCTAGTTAACGCCAAGTCGGCATGGTCATCAATGAGCGGCGGCGTGCCTCGGAGAGGGCAAGCCACAAAAGATGTAGCCGGCACGCCTGACCGCTCTGGGCAACAGGCCCAGCCACAGCGGGGCAGACCAAGGTCATGGGGACGTGCGCCCCTCCTCTATCCGGCGTCGACGCGGCCTGGCAATTCCTGCCAGGTAGCTAAAAGAGCGCGAGGCCGCATCCGACGGCCAACGCTAGCCCAGCCCCGCAGCGGCGGCGGCGGCGGCATGGCGCTCCCCTCCCGTGGACGGCGTGGTCGTCAGTCAACAAACAGATCGATTGATTGAACCCCCCTCGTCGCCGCGCGGAAGCCATCTTCGTCGAGCGCGTCCCTCGCGTTTCGACATTCCGTGTCCATCTCCGGGGATGGAGCGATCTCGCGACGCTCGCAGCATCAGGGAACGGTAGCAGTCCACGGAGACCGTCGCAGGTCGTGCTGGCGCACATGCACGCGTCGCGGTGACGGAAAGAGGCCGAGGGATGATCGCGACGGCATTCAGCGCATACCTTCCGCCAACATCTGCAGCGCCAGTTCCAGGCTCTCGCCATCCTGCACTAGGAGCTGGCACGCCCTCTGAAGCCAGGCTTCGATGGTGAGGTCGGCCTCGGGATCGTTGGCGGCTGTTGCGACGTGCGAAGTTGCCAGGACCGGCGAGGACACCCTCATGGCTGACGGCGTCGAGCCAACCTCACCCTGAGGCGCGCTGTGAAGTGACTGCTGCGCTGCGTTCTCCTCGGCTTCGATGACACCAGCAGTCGAGGTCTGCGGCTGCAGTTCCACGATGTAGCTGTCAGACTGCCCAGGATGAAGCAGCCAAGGAAGCAAGGACGACGTGAGCACTTCGCGTGGCGAGAGGCGAGAACCGCGCGAACGACAACCATGCGCTGAGTCGCACCTGTATCATCGACAGGAAGATGCCGGTGTCGCTGGCGTCGGCGAACATCAGCTGGCATCGGCGCCACTGTCGTCCATGATCAATGCAAGCAGATGAGACGGGCGCCGCTTCAGTGACCATCGGACCGAGTACCCACAGGCTGGCCAGCTCAGGGCAAGGCCTACCGCTCGAGCTCACCTTGGTCCTGTCGTGGAGGTCCAGATAGCGCAGGCCGACCAGATCGGCGCGACGGACGACACTGAGGACCGGTCCATGGCGGCCCTCGCGAGCTGCGGCGTGCGTCAAGGCCACCACATCGACTTCCTCCTGATCAAGGGCGGGATGCACAGGGACGACGGCGTCAGGCCAAGGAGCCAAGGCCCGGAGCTGGAGCGCAACGGTGACCTCGTACCAGCACGATGCTCGAGGCGATCCCGCTCGCCTGCAGGAGCGACGCCGACGGGTCGCTGACCGAGAAGGAGACGGTGATGCGCAGCTCCCTCGACCTCCGGCCCGAGGCCTGGCCGTGCGAGAGCCTCTGCTGCGCGACTGAGCTGGTGAGATGCTCGCTGGGCGGAAGGCGGGGACCCTCGTCCACGGTGGCGAGCCGTACGGTACAGCTCAGGTCAGGCTGGTCAAAGTGCTGCCATGCCAGCCGGCGCTCGTCGTTGCCGCCCCGATCCCGATCGCGGTTCCGACGTCGAGGGGTGACGCCGCGAGAGACGCGAGCCAGACGGCAGGCCCAGGTGGTGAGCTCGGTGGTGCTGGCCATGACGGTCGCCGTGGCCATGCCCGTGCCCGTGCCTCGATCGCGATTCGGCAGATGTGGCAGCCTCGAAGGAACGGGAAGCCGTGAGGGAGACGTCGAAATGCGGGGTAGCAGGCGAGCCAGGGGTCAGGTGGCGAGCCAGCAGGCTTCTGCCGATCCAGCGAAAGAAGAGGCCAGGCTAGGGCTTTCCCCTCGGCGGCTCCTCAGACAGACCGGGATCCAGCTGGCACGAGCTGGCGAAGACGCAGGCTAGGTAGGCAGGCTGGACCGCCATCGCAGGCCCCTCGAGCAAGGCGGAGGCCTCGAAGCTGGGCGGTCGCAGCGGGTGGGGCCGTCAGAAGCGGGTCGAGCTGTTTTCACCCCCTTCTTCCTCTCGGCAAGCTGGCCGTCTCAGGTGGAAGCTGCAGGCGGAGGTCGGTCACTCCCGCTCAGAGGAAGAGAATGCCAGCAAGCCGTGGTCGCCGGCGCGGATCCGAAGACACGGCATGAAACCGTCATCAGGCCGGTGGCCGCATTTGGCGCTGCCTGCCTGGTCTGGCCGCGCCGCCTGCGAGCCGGGTTGACCGACGCAAGTTTGAGTTTCGAGACCTGATGGCCTTGGTCCGACGCCCGCCAAATGCTCGTCGTTGGCAGGCGGAAAGCCAAGGTGGCCCCCCGAATTCCATAGTCCCTCTGCGGGCGTCAGGCTAACCGAGCTGGCTCCGGTTCAACTTTGGAACGGCGCTGATCCGCTTGCGTCGGCTTGGTGTGAGCCCGGAATAGCTTGGCCTCACCCTCGAATTTGGCTGGGCGAGCCTGCTTGCTCGCTCCCTTCCGGCCGGACCTCGTCTTGGGCGGAGGCCGGGCGGCGGCGGTGGTTGCTCGAAGCTTGCTTGCTCGCTCGCTCGCTCGCACCCGCGCCGCCCGCTCGAGGGCCCGCGCTGTCCGCCTTTGTTCTACATGGTAGCAGGCCCCGAGCCATGGTTCAGCCACCCAACGCGGCGCGAGCCTAGGGCCAGACCAGCCGGCCAGGCCAGGCCTCCAGGCAGGCCAAGCGCGACAAAGTGCTCCGCCAGAAGCGTACCCGACCGCAGTGTCCGCCGATCAAGGTCGGGCGGGGCCTGGCCTGGCTGCGTATGCTCCTCGACTGACCACTGGGCCCAGCTTCTCCACACCTTGATAAGGACGCCATCGTGTGGGCGCACGCTGCCACCCACCATCCATCCATCGCCCGTCATCCCTCCGCTTCCAGAGACTCTGCTGCCCGCGCCAAGAGACTCCCCCCTGACCCTTCTGCCGCCACACGCTCGCCTCTGCTGTTCTTCGAACACCACCACCACTGCCCTCACCGCCGCTCCGCACAGAAGCATCAATCGTACCTCTGCCCCCCCCCCCCCCCCCCCGTCTCAGACCTCGTCGTCGTCGACGCCGCCACCTGTCACACGACCTGTCAAGCAGCGACTCGGCCTCCTCGCTTCCAATTTCCTTAGAAGAAAAAAACCCGCGGCAGGCACGTCCACCAAGGCCTTCGCGACGCGTCCGTAGAATTCCAACTAGCCGCCGACCCGAGCACAGGCTACTCAACAGCCGTCCCTCCCTCGCGCTACATCCCCTTGCTCCTCCACGCTCCAACCCCCACGCACCACACCTTGCTCTCGCTTCTCCAACAACCATGGTCTTCCAGTCGTACGCCTTCGGTGGCAACACCAACCCCATCAACCTCCACCACGGTGGCGTGTTCGAGGCCGCCGCCCCCATGCCCATGTCGCGCAAGCGCAAGGTGTGCGAGGAGGACGAGGCCGACTTCGGGCTGTCGTCGCTACACAGCAACAAGCTCTGCCTCCCTCGCGGGGCGGGCCTCGACATGGACCAGCAGGCCGAGTTCCACCCGCTGCCGCTCGACGTCAGCAACGCCATCTTGGCCTCGCTCTCGCACGACCCCTTTGCCATGGCCACGATGCAGAGCAGCCCGGGGTCCGCTTACGGCAACGAGGCCCAGCTGCCCACGCCCTCGTCGTCCTACGCACCCCTGCACAGCGACCACGGCCACAAGAGGTCCGACGGCTCCGACTACTTTGGGCAGGGCTCCCAGTACCCCGAGCTCGACATCTACCCTTCTCAGCCTGGCCTCTACGGCCTGATGGGCCCGCAGGCCGGCGCCTCGTCCAACGGCATGGACGTCGACGGCGAGGGGCAGGCTCAGGGCCACGGCCCGCACTGCAAGAGCATCGCGCGGCTCTCGGTGCGACACAACGGGGGCACCACCTCGGAGCTTTGGGCGAGTTGTCCCGGTGAGCAAGGCCCTCGCCTGCCTCTCGCGAGGATCGTCACGGACCGGACCGCATGCTGACATCGAGGCCCCCTTTCCTTCCGCCTCGTCCGCCCTTTTTAGACTGCGGAGCCTGCACCAAGGTCCAGTCCGACCAGCCCTCGAAGCTCTGCTACTCCCCATGATCGACAGCTGCGGAGGCTGTTCGCCATGCGCTAGCCTCCGACGCCATCCGCTTCCTTGCCTCGGTCAGCCTCTCTGCGTCCCTGGTGGATGATGACAGAGTCCAGCCCATCGAAAGTCTTAAGAAACAGGCAGGCCTTCCGCGGGCCTGTCGAGAGATCGTCCACCGTCCCGCTGGGCGACGACGTCTCTATTCCGCATCTCGAGTGCCTCGTTCCGCCATCAATCCTTGCCCCACATGCATCTGTAACACCATCCCCGTCCCTTGCTTCCCTCCCTCTCTCTCGCGCTCGCTCTCGCACGCTGCCCTACCAGACCCGCACGGACCCCGAACGCCCTGTACACCCGCCATCCCAGCCCTTTTAATCTCTGGCCCCCGTCGCTCCACGAGCGAGCGGTCGCGGTCGTCGGCCCCCCATCCCTGTATTCTATCACTCCGTACCTGCCTAGCGCCCCTGCTCTCTGCCCATCTCCGAATGCCAATCGAGTGTCGAGCACGCTACAGACGTCGTGTCGGCCTGGTCAGAGAGAGAGAGTCCCGAATCTTGGACTGGGCCTGACATTTCGCCCCGTTTTTCGCGTTTCATTTTTTGCACAGCCTGCCTTGGTAGAGGGGGGGGGGGGGCGACGAGCCAGCCACAGCTTTGATGCGGCTAACGGACGCACACCTCCTCTCCTCGTCTTGTCTCGAGGAAGCCGCGGTGGGAAGGGAGGAAGTCGACCGAGACGAGGCATCTTTCAGTCGCCAGGTCAGTCACCTTTCGCCCGGCCCGCACCGTGGTACCCACATTCCACAGGAGCGTGCACAGTCACCGAAGATCCTTTTTGGTCGAAAGGGAGGGGGGAGCGGGGATGAATGGCATCAACGGGAAAGGCTACATACGTAGATCGAACATCGTCGAGGCAGGGTACCGAGAGCCGGGGGGGAACAAGGAGAATCGACGAGCGACCGACCAAGGTAGGGAGCATGAACCGGATCCAGGAAGGAGGGAGGGCCCTCCCCTCTTGGTTGGCTACTTTGCACACGTCCACCGCCGGTTGCTCGGAAGGGATCGACGGCCCATGACTTCGGTGCTTTGAGCTTTGTGCTTGGAAAGAGTTTTGGCCGTGAGGCGATCCCGACCCTTTTGCCCGCTTGACACCGCCAGAGGGAGGCAGGCCAGAGAGAGGATGGGGGGAAGGGGCAAGGTCGACGATACGCCACACTTGGGATTTCGCAGAGAACGCAACGGTACCCGAAACAAGAAAGGCAGAGGACAGAGCCCAAGAGGATGGATGGTTGGCTCGATTTGGGTTGGTTTGGTTTGGTTTGGTCGGATGCAACGCGAGCGAGGCAGCGAGGGGGGCGGGAGAGGGGTCAAAAGGGGATGGAGCAGGAGGAGGCCCGTGATGGTTGCGTGCGACCTTGACGCTAGGCTAGGCCGGAGACGACTCGCGTCGATTTACTGCTGCTGGCTGCTCGGGTTGGCAGAGGCATTGAGGGAGGAGGCGAGAAGCAATATGTGACGAAGACAAAGTCGTGGTCAGCAAGAGGGAGGGGGCGACGCTGAGCGCAAGGGACGACGAGGTTCGATAACGGAGCAGGGCGAGCGGGACATGGAGGAACGAGTCGGAACGGATCGATTCGGAAAGTCGGGGAACCCCGTTGCCGGCCTCAGATGAGGACAGCGACGGGAAGGTACCGAGGTACAGGAGCAATGGGAGGAGGGAGAATAGAAGTCAAGCAGGCGCAAACGGAGGCCGAGAGGCCTAGTAGCCCTGGCCACCGTAGCCCTGAGCCTGGTATCCGCCGCCGTTCTGCGCGGGCTGCTGGAAGCCCTGCTGGGCAGCACCGTAGCTGCTGCGGTCCGAAGGCAAGTGACGAGTCGTGCGACGGGGAAGGGGAGGAGGCGAGACCGGAGAGGGGAAGCGAGATTGACGTTGCGGAGACGAGGCGTGTTGGACGTTGCGAGACGAGATCGTTGGCGGAGAGAACGGAGACCGCGGACGAGATTGAAACCGAGAGCCGAGCCGAACCGATCCGAGAAGAGAACAGAGCCCGAGACGTTGCGGAAGCGCGGAAGAGACCAACGAAGCGGGATGATCGAGACGGAGCGAATGTCGGAGGAAGCGGGATCGGGACACAAGAGACAGGGGAAGCCAAGCCACATTTGAGAAAACGCTGAAGCCACGGCGAAACGTCGAGAGAAGCGCATGCGCCTGTCGCGAGCAGCGGAAGACCGAAGCATGGCGAGGCCGGGTGGCGACGAGGCCGGCAGGAGAGGCCAAGGTCGCCCGTCGTCCATTCCGTAGCGCCAGCTGCTGTCTCCCATCTGCTTCGCGACGTGGGCTGTCGACCGCGGCAAACATCCGACGCGAACCAAGCAGACCACTGCGAACAAAGCGCCGAGGGACCAGGGGCTAGCAACCGAATACTCACGCGTTGTAGCCGCCCTGCTGGCCGTAGCCCTGCTGGCCGCCGTATCCCTGCTGGCCGCCGAAGCCGCCCTGCTGGGGAGCACCGCCGTAGGGGGCCTGCTGGTAGCCACCCTGGTAGCCGCCCTGCTGGCCGAAGCCGCCGGCCTGGCCGAAGCCACCGGGCTGGCCGCCTGCGGTGATGGAAGAGGATGATGGTCGCACGGAGATCGTTATCAGCGACTGCTGCTCAGCTGGGAGCAGGGGTGTGTGGAAGCCTGGGCCGCGCGTCAAAGACTCACCGTAGCCGCCACCGTAGCCGCCAGCGCCACCGCCGTAGGCGCCGGTGACACCGCCGTATCCGCCGCCGCCCATGCCGCCAGCGGGTCGCGAGTTGGCCATGTTGACGCGGATGCGACGGCCGTCGAGCTCCTGCTCGTTGAGGGCAGCGATGGCAGCGTCAGCCTCCTGCTGCGAAGCGTAGGTGACGAAGCCGAAGCCGCGCGAGCGTCCAGTCTCGCGGTCCTTCATGACAATGTAGTCGGTCAGCTGGCCGTAAGCCGAGAAGGCGTGGGCGAGGCTGTCATCAGTGGTGTTCCACGAAAGGTTTCCGACGTAGACTTTGGCGGCCATCTTGACTGGTGTTGTTGGTCACGAGACGAGGGAGACGAGGGTCTTGAGCAAGGAGAAGCAAGCCTATCTGTCGACAGGGGTTGTCAAGAAGGCCAGATCGAGTCGAGTCCAGGGAAGGAAGAAGAGAGAGAGAGAGAAAGGGCATGCGTCAGTGCCATTGTCGCACGGAAAGGACAGGCAGGGGTGGCGGCGAGGTGGCGGCGCAGAAGAGCATCGGCCGTAGACGGCAGCGACGGCAGTGCGACGGTGATGCCCGTCGAGCTGCCGGCGCAGTGGGTCATGTCGATGCACCATGTGAAGTGACCAAGGCCGGTGTTCGACCGCGACGCGAAGGGTCGGCCCAAGCGCCAAGGGCAGGGCAGGGAGGCGCGGGGGGGAGCGGTACTCACCGATACAATCGAGCCGGTTCTGTGGGAATTCGTAGCGGGCCGAGACGAAGATACGAGACGGACGAGTCGAAGGAGAGACGATGCGATGAACCGAAACGAGAGGATTCAAGGTATCGAGACCGGGAAGAGGATATGAGGTGTGGTGGGGATGGTGGCGAAAGGGGAGGGAGGG